TATTTTATGGTACGATGTGGTCTGTTTGATTTGTATATAAATCCAGTATGTTTGAAATACATGATATATATCGCAGAGGTTGATATTGGTGTTCTGGATGTAACAGTCAGGGCCAGGCGTAGCATGACCGACAAGGTCCCTAGACTGCTCGTACGGGCTTACGTGCCATTAGTTCGGTCAATGAATCACTGTTCTATAACTGGTGGTATCATTACGTTCTAACTTAATAAGGCACAGGGCCACAAGTTACTACAGAGAAAAGGTGCGGTAGTATTGGCCTTCGACTACACGATGACTGAAAAAAACAGGATTCCTGCGTCAAATCTCGTGATACTAGGAAACGTGTTATATATATAAAGAAGAAATGCAAAAACTAAACTGGGATAGTGGCTACAAAGTGCAAAATTAAAATACAATTATGAGAAAGCTCAGGCCGAAGTGATTAAATTATTCGTTGACTTTCGCAGTTTCTATCACGTCGTTGCGTCTGCATTCGCTATCATACATTAGGATGGGCGTGATTCATATATACGATGATAAAAATTCAGTATAGTTGGAAAATCTGTAGAATTACGGTCTACTTTGTTATTAGTACTGCTATAATGATAGACCTAATCCTAAGAGTGTATATTCGTCATGATGTTGTGTGGACTAGACAATGTATAAACGTGAAAAGTATCAACAAAGTTATTAAAGATCAATAGGAATATTAAAAATATACCAGTTAATTGTTATGACTACAATAAAAATTGGGACTTAAGTTCACCAAATTGATGTGTGTTCAGCTTTAGTCTGGTACAGTAAATCCACAATTATAAATGCTTGGTAATTCTAATCGGGTTGACGAACTCTCCAGTAGTGTAATCCAATGTAAGATGAGATATATTCTCACTCGCAGTTCATAAATGTAGGTAATATTTGATTTAGATTTCAGTTAGCTCGATCACAAACGAAAATAGGACGAGGGATATGTGTGTAGCAATGTATTTGTTAGCAAGCCACAGTATGTCACGCTATGTAGTTACACAACGGAAAGTGTGTTCAAGGTCATTCACCCAAACAACATGTGCGGTCATTTAATGATAGATGCATATACAATGAAAAACTGACGAAATAAATACAAATAATATTAAAAACTATTTACAAAATAAGCTTGTCAGGCCTATCTCCACAATGTTACTACCTAATCTATGGGATCCTATGAGGTAGTGATATCATTATCTACTTTGACTCGTCGTACCTTAAGAATCAGCAATATGACGTCTAGCACATTTGAGGGACACATTCGGAATAAAAGTTGAATATTATATTTAATGTAAGTAAAGATAGCGTTTACAAAATGATCACGTCTGAGAGGCTGAATCAAGCTATCCGACTGAATCAATGAATGTTTCCACGTTCACCATATTTAACCCGCACTTTGTATTAAGTGTTGTATATCTATTTTCCCAGTTATCTCACGTTCAACTTTGAGGATTGTGTGGTTATGACTAATACCACTACAAATCTACTGCTCAAAAACCACATATATGGGAGCTCTCTGTTCAACATCTTGGATCCATCGCTGCATACAGACCTAACAGTATGCTCCTGCGGTTTATCCTTCAATTTATAGGATCAAGAAAACCCGTGATTTCACAAGGGTCTAACTTCTTTACCACAGTTATCGAGCTACAACTGCTTACTGAATAGCAAGACACGAAAGTCTACAAGTTATTGTTTGTAATAAAAAATATCGTCACTATCAACTATTAGTTTTCTCGTCCCAATTCAACCACAACAAACTTCAATCGGAACAATGGCAACAACATGACAGAAATGCACAGTGAACGAACACATCCGATTCTGATATAACTGACAGGAGTAGAAAGTCTTTTCACCCGAACTTGATTTAGAGCCCCAGTTACAGCCACAATCACAATACAGTAAACATACTAAGGCCTATTTATTTATGTTAAAACCCTTACTGGACTGAATGTGGTAGATGCGGGATGCGCTCAGGCTTAGGTAGTATATCAAACTTGCCTTTCTGGAATTATAAACCTGGATTAAAACTCTCGAACAATTTATTACACTAGACTGATCACCTTTAAAGCTCTAGATATGAATTCCCTCAAAACCCATGAGCCAGGATATGATGAAGTCGTTAATAATTTTTTGGGAATAATTTAACGGTAAACAACTAGGTCTGATTTTAGATAGATGATATAAAATAGACTTATTCGAATGGTAATACGCGAGTCAACTTCACTTGGTTGGACTTTGTTCGTTTTAGGATCCAGAACGATCTGTCTTCATAATAAAAGATAAGGATAGGAGATTAGATGACCTATGTTAATCCTAGTGATTTGGAGCACTGTAAAGACCTGAAGTTATTGAACTTACAGGCAGAATGCGATGACACGACATTTTTTCCGCAAGGAATTTAAAGATCCACGGCTGAATACAAAATACGAGACTCCAGTTGTAGATGGTTTATCTATACTTTCGAACGTTTTGTGAATGTCTTCCTAATTAATCTCAGACGGAAGAGAAAGATGAGACATATCGATACCGTAATCGTCTTTCAGTTATCGGTAAGCCAGTATTAGGACATCTCAATACTAACCACAAGATGGTGAAAATAGGTTCACGGACCTCAGTCTAACTATATACGGTAAGTCAGGAAGACTCTTAGTTATTTTGACCTCTCGTCTCCAAGGTTCTCCAGGTATAGCATTTTTATATCCGAAGCAAGAATTCGATGTTTGACTCTCATATTCTGAGGTTTGAGCTAAACATGTTGGATGTACTATCCTAGACAATTCCTTATGACCTATTAACAGTCCTTAAGGGTTGTAAACTTTTGGCACAGCAATCTTACCATTACTCTGAGTTCTACAGTGATTATTTATTATGACTAAAGAGTCATGATAATCAACCGTGGATAACACCAATCCATTTAATGTGTAACTATGGGATTAATTTATGTGACTGATTTTCATTGCTACAATCTCTCTGGAGTTCTGTAGTCCTGTAGTCTTATCTTATCGGACACACCGCTTATTGGTCTGTAGAATTATGGTCTACTATAACATCAGTACGGCTCTAATAATAGACCTAATCCTAAAATTGTAGATTTGTCATGATATAACTGCCTAATCTATAAGATCTTACGTGGAAGTCACACCATCGACTACACCAACTCATTGTATCGTATCAATTACCAATACATGATGGAGAACAAGCTCCGGCTAGAGAAGGAACAATATATTTAATACGAATAGAAGATACAAGGTAACATTCAGAGGGACCACGCCTGCGTGACCGAGCTATGCCACCCGATCAACTCCGATTCCTTCAATTCCTTGTTCGCGCCTTCTCCATCGTTAGGTATTTCTCCGCATTAAATATTGAGTATCTAGTTTCCGAATAGTCTTGTGTTCAGCTATGAACATTGTGTGGTTATGGTCCAATGCCACTACAGGTCTCTATATTTCGACGTAACTTACCTACGGTAAACTCATGCAGGGTAAAGCGATCTAATTTTGGATACGAAATTACACAGTGGCTAAGTAAAATATGAAAATCATACATCAAATACATATTCATGTCACCTTTGCGTTATCACTCACGCCATTATTCCCACTCCTGTTTGTGGCTACATACTACGTATAGCTGTCAGTATAAGTAGCATACACCAAACTTGTCCCTCCTGTGAACGACAATCACTTTTGCCGTTGTCCTACTCGCCGCACCACGTTCTTCTTTGTCACATTCTGTGCCAAACATCACCTCGAAATGTCGATTCCGCCAGCGCTCTGACTTCCGTAGCAGTGTCAGTCTGCCGGGTCATCCAAATCCACTGTCCATCCAGCGCTGAACATCTCACTACTATTCTCTCTCGACGGCAACTGGTAAAGTCAACACTGCTCCTCCAGCCAACTCCACTCGACGTCCCCTCCCTGATTCATATCTGTTCTCAAAGAACAAAGGACACATTGTCAGTGTTAGTGGCCGCTCTCCTAGTGTCGTTATCTGAAGACATTTTGGGAAGCACTCAGCTCTGTAATAGCGATCGCTTACAAACGCCAGTAAATTTTATAGAGCAGAAGTAAAGTGATTTCATCACACCTCTACTTTCGTCTCTTTATACAGGGGGGGGGGCATTTTATGGTTTATTTGGGATATACAGTCATTCATTTTTAGCATAAATTTATGTACTTTCTTATAAAAATTTCATTCTGTCTTAAGCTTACAGCAAATGGATTTGAATAATTTACTATATGTAGACCTTTGTATGTTCAAATGTCACCTGTGTTGGAAGTTTCTTGACCTCTTTTGCTATTTATGATGAGCAGATGTTTAATTTACATGGTTTTAAACATGGTATAGGTAGGAACGTAATAGAGTTTAATATAACTTTAAGTTTAGGGTTCATAAAGATGTTACGGTTACGCAGTGTTTGTAAACGTTACTATCCGAAAATTCTTATACAATGATCCCAAAGTAACAGAGCGAGAAGTCGAAAACGAAGGTAATGGGAAGATATATATGAAAGATAATCGATATATTTCATTAGGAAAAGATAACATTCAGTTCAATCATGTTGATACTGAACAAAAACTACAGTCTCAGATTTTGTTATTCTTTTAGTTTTAGTACACTAAAGGGAATTTTGTGACATCATGGTCATCTGTCAGTCAAACCCGGTTATTCGTTTCTCGAGGTTGGAATATGACGCAGAACACGACGGCTGTTGTTAGCATCTGTTTATTATGATGCATTTCTTTTCCAGATTGCTGTTGTTGCTTCAGTATCGGCAGTTGTTGCTATTTCAGGTGTCGTATTGGGACTAATATTCAGGCCTAAGAAGCCGAAAAAAACTCTGGTGGATAATGATACGAAAATTCCTTTACGAGTAGTGGATAGAAGTGTAGGGTATCCTTTTCTAAGCCTCATAAATTAGTTCATCACTCATGATACAATTCGCCTAAAACTAGGTCTTCCCACAGCTGACCATGTCTTGGATTACCTGTGGTAAAGTTTCTTAACCAATTAGTTACCGTTCCTTCTAGGTAATCATGTATACTTCAGTGCAAAAATTGATGGAAACATGGTGGTTCGACCCTACACTCCGATTACACTAGATACCCAAAAAGGATATGTTGACTTTGTCATAAAAGTAAGTCTTCAGATTGTAGGTCAGTCACCATACTTCTGCTATTTCCACTGTGCGTAATTTTGTTTGTTTTGCATCATATCTAAGCGACGGTCATCTAGTTTTTACAGACCAATTCTGGGGGTAGTCAGTACGGGAGATTTTGACTTTAGGAAGAGGCTACTCTTTAATCTGATAAGGTAGTCGAGCTAAATGTCATTATCTTCACAAATACCTCTCTTTATTACCAGTATATAGTCATGGATTGTACAAGATAATAATACCACCCAGTTATTACCACTCACCAATCTTAGTTTCTGGAACTATTTTTTTCTACCCAGCTTTCAGCTGAAGTGGCTATTATCTAATATAATCTGCTCCATATTTCGTCGATTTCATGTTGTTCTGATATAAAGTGTGGCAGCAGCAACCAACGCGTCTGTTTCACCTTTTTATTTACGTGTCAGCAGCCTCGTATTACATGTCACCCATTTTCTGGTATCTCTATGGTGATCTGATGTAGGCCAGTTGACTTTGTTTTTGTGTCTTGATATTATAATATGGTTCTACAATGTACGGTAAAATGTAAAATCCACTGTTATATGGAGGGATAGCTCTAAAGTAGGAAAAAGAATTGCGAAGCATAGCATAAACATATCGTTAAAGCGACTGAAGCTGTTGAACTTAATAGTAGGTTATCCATCAGTTTAAGAATCCATGTCTTCGATTCATAGGGTGCAGAACTCATAAGCTTAGAGTACGACTACTCATAAATATGTTCAACATTTTATGGACAGGACCACTTCACAATGCTGCCGAGTACGGCATACATCGACTAATCACTCAGTAGTTCTCTAGTTGCTGTCTTAACGAAATCACCAGTGTACCAACCACTTAATTGACCTCGTCATTTTTAAAGTGCCAATTATTATTCGTATAACTCAACTTTATTATTGCTGTTTAGGTGTATAAAGGAAGCGTTAATCCTAAATTTCCCAAAGGTGGAGTTATGTCACAATATTTGGCTAATCTCCCTATCGATGGATTTATTGATGTTCGTGGTCCATCTGGAAAATTGGAATACAAAGGGTGTGGTATGTTCTAGTGGCTTTTGTAGCTCCTTTCTATTATTGCTGAAGTCGTTCTGGGTCACCTTATTTATATTATTATTGGGCTAAAATTTCAGCTTAAATCTGTCAACAATTTTACGCTGTCAATGAACCTATTATAATACACTACTTAAAAGTGTAGGAAAGAGTTCAGCGCATACCGACTGATAGAAACTGCCTTTCGGCTAAAAAATCTTTACGAATCACCTGACTAAATAAGAACGGACCATATTTCATTGGTAAGCCTTTTTCCTTAGATATAAAAAACATGCTCTGACCAGGATGAGACAATATTTATTTGCATTGGTTCAGAAGTGGAAATTCTTCGACGCAATTTTACATAATTCCTGAGAATCACTAGTTAGACGTCTTAAACATCAAAAGGAAACTTTTCTTAGAGGTTCAGAAACATTCAATAAATTATACAGTCTGTACATGTCACTACTATTCTCTTGTAGAGCTTAGTCACGAAGCCACCTTTAAAATTATCATTGAGCCTAAAACCCCAAGGAGTTAAATTATAAGAGCCTTTCTAAATCCCTATTTGATAATCAAGAGATAAATCATAATCCCAGAAATACGTTAGAAAGAAAATTAATCTCAAGACCATGTATTTGTAGTATTACTTAAGATAATAATTCCTGATGCCTTAGAACAATGACTCAGCATTCTGAATCTCTAAAGATGCTTACAAAATGGGAACGAATCGTACTCGTCGATCTCGAAGTTGGGTAGCCTTAGTAACTGAGATTTATTTATTTATTTAAACAAATATTAACACAAGAAAGCACCAAACAGATATGCGCCACATGAATCATTCGATTCATTTGAGGGCTGGGATACTGCCCGGGTGCCCAAACCGAAGCAGATGGTTTTCTTAGGGGTCACACTCCGAGCCTTTGACGTAAAGGTCTAATCCACGAGGCAGTGGACTGACGTGAGATGCATTCCCATGGCAGTCGGTTACCAACGGTTAGTTCATACGCCATTTGTTCCTTCAGGATTCTGGAGCCCATGTGCACCATTGTTTGGAATCAGAGTTTTCCAACTCCCCTAGGTGGACTCTGTAGTATTGGGGTTAGTATAAATCAGTGGTTGGATAATTCAGGTAATATGGCCCAGGATCGATGACCCTTTAAGATTGTGTTTTTATAATCACTTGTAAATATTCAATATCTGTTAGGATTCCAATTCTTGTTGACTGGTAACTAGTTATTTATTACCATCCCGCTTTCGGTTCTTTTCATGCTAAATATGATATCTTTATTACTGTTTATGAATTCATATATTCTAAAGGGAATACGAATGGTGAATTCTTATGTTAACTGGTTTGCTTACTGTATATTTTGGCAACAGCTAAATAAATGTCTCACCCACTGTATCTGGGCATTTATATATGTGGTTATCTCGAAGAAGTAAGCGAAAAGGCACAATGTCAGGTAGTTGGAGGAAGTCGACAGAAAGCCCTGGGACTAATTTTCGTACCATTTAACAGTTCTACAATTCTTTCCTGTAGTTTTGAAGAGTGGGTATGAACCCATGTCATTCAGCTTTGCACTATGAGATGTTACTACTAAGCCATTCGGGCAATAACTGACTTCTGCAGGCCTGAGGTATTTAAAATTGATTGATCACTAAGTAGTTACCCGTGTCATTCTTGCCTTGTCCTTTTAGTGCTGACTGAATTCTATCAACCAAATTAGTGCGGCTACTCGTTCAGGTGACTCGATATCATTTGCACTACGTTGAGATGCTAGATGGTTGGAGTTAGTTGACAGAAAACCCTTGTACCCTTCTGATTCCATGCCTTTCATGGTCTTAATAACCATATATTGAGTAATTTCTATGAAAATCAAGAATCGATTAGATTTTATTTATAAAAGCTTCCGGTCTTGTGAAAAAAGATTATCAATATTTTGCATTTGTTTTCCTTACATCTAGGTTTGTTCTATATAAAGCCGGATCTACGTAGTTCACCTAATCCTGTAAAAGTGAAACATGTCAATATGATTTGTGGTGGGTCTGGTATAACACCAATGTTCCAGCTATTATCTTACATACTTCAGTCTAAAGATGATACAACACAAATAGCAATGGTCTTTGCCAATGTGGTACGTGGATTTAAATATGTGGGGGATTTTACATTAGTTGTACACTTTCACTTTTATCATTTGCATTTTTGACAATTGCTTCTTGTAACCCAGACGAGATCCTTGCCTATCAACGAAAAGGTGAAAATACTGTTCAGGAACTTTTCATGTATCACTATGACTTTAAAACGTGGTCTATGAAAGCAAGAGATGTATATAGACTGCAAGTGTTTGATCGTAAGCATCTTCAAAGCATCCCTCACTTATAATAAAACTACCGAACACTTAATTTTGAGGTTTATGAGTAATGTAGTAAGTATGAACGACTAGCTGTCTGGTTTGAGTATGAACCTTTACGGTGCGTATGCTTAGTCACCGCCTGCCGCAACATCCAACCCTCGTTCACTTGTAAGTTAGAAAGGAAGGACGTAAAGGCATGAAGATCAAGGTAGGATTAGTTCACAAAGTAAATAACTGCTGGTTTGACTCATGTTCATAGGTTCAGGAATCCTAGTTGAAGGTCTACAGAATATACGTAATCAGTCTTTGAGTGAAATCGCGCAAAATCTTTCTCGGTGGATACGTTTTATCCATTTTTTATGTTCCTCGAAATCTTGAGTTAAATAATACTCAGTCAGTCAGTCAACCACAACGTAAAACCTGTAAGTATGTACATCGGCTCAAGCTGTCGTGCCCCATTAGCATAGAGAAATGAAGTTGTCAGGTCAAATCCCAGAAAAGTAGAGATAGTCACAGTAAGTGTTACTCCTACATTCTTATTTGGCCATCTCGATTTTTTCCTTTCGAAACGTATTTTTCTTGACTATATTTCTATCTCAGTTGAATTTTCAAGTTCTTTTTTTCTCATATTACCTTATCTGGCTGTGTTGATGTAAGGCATGAGAACTCGGGACAATAAACATTTATGTCTGATCTTTTGTTGATGACTAGCTGACTGATAACCACCTTAAAATATATCTGTCAAAATTATTTGCGTAATTTTATAGTTTAATAAACGTCTTTTTAGTCTGTGAAATCGGTGATGAGGGAGTAAATCTTTCTCAAGAGTGGTCGCTGAGGCATGTTATGTATGCCCAGCCACCATCTATCTCCACTTCCTATATTAAAGAGTTGAGAGCTAGTTGGAAGAAAATTAGGAGCTGTTAGTGAAGAACTTGCATCAGCCGATGAGGTTATTGATTATCTCCTTGGGTCATCTAAATAGATTATAGATTACCTGGTCGATGTTCACACAACTATCGTAAACAATGGTCAGGTGTTAAGTGATATGGCTTAGAATCGGTGGCAGTTGAACAGATGCTTTCACTCTCTGTCCTACTTAGATCTTGAGTTATTAAATTATCTCATTTATTTTATTCTACCATTTTATTCGTTGTTCAGAATCATATTGTTTATGTCTAATGTTGCCCATAACAACTGACACTAACTGCTTCTACTACTCTATCATTTGTCTTGATAATTATTATTTTACCGTGTCAATATGCTATGGAAACTCAAATTAGTGTATTAATGTGCCAGATTTTGCATTATATTTGACTGACTATGAAATTGATTAGTATTCTGCCCCCAAATGCCCTGGTATGGCCGAGAGTGGTGAGAGTTCGCTCTCTCTCTCTCGAAATGCTCTCACACGGCCACACGTATAAAGCCTCTGTCAGAAAAGTCCTCACTGCCTTCTCGTGGCGGGGTGTTGTTCACGAAAATGAGAGGACGAAAAGCGAATGTCCGGCGCTTTAACCGGATTCCAAACCAATGGTGCACATGGGCTCCAGTATCCTGCGGGAACAAGTGGCGTATGAACCAATCGTTGGTCACCGGCTACCATGGGACTGCATCCCTTTACGATGCTGCACTGCCTTGTGGATCAGACCTTTAGGTCAAAGGCTCGAAGTGTGACCCCCTAAGAAAACCACCTGCTTCGGTTTGGGCATCCGGGCAGTATCGCAGCCCACCCACGCAAATATGGTGTGGCGCATACATATTTGGTGCCCTCTTGTGCCAACATTTATGTGTTTAAATAAATAAATAAATAATCAATTGATATCGGTTAAAAAAAGCAAGTAAATAGTGAGCACAATTTTAGTAATCTGTTTTATGATTTTTTTAAAGGTCCAAAGTACATAACATTGATGTGTCTCTATTTTAAAGCGAAACATCTATTCAGTATTTCCTAGATCATATAACTTGGTTTTTCTTTTTAAAGAAATGAATTTATCCTCATTTTAGGTTACTTCATTTTAATCATATATACTTAACAACTCACTTATCTTTTAGAATATACAAGCCAATTCTTTCAACAGATAATTTAGAAGTACAAACATAACACAATAATGTGAAATACAATTTAAAATAGTGATGGTTGTGGCATATTAGTTGCTTGATAAAAAAGTCGTTTTTCGTTTGAACCAAAGTGTATGTGCATTTATTTCACACAGTCCAAACATAAACACAAAACTGCATGTACATTCAGTTGGCAAGCCAAAGATAAAAAAAGCATACATTCTGGATCCCGTCACAAGTCACTGACAAAAATTTATTTTAACAATTGGATTCACGAGGTGGTCTAAGCTGCCCCAAATGCCGTGGTACGGCTGGGGGTAGGAAGAGTCCGCACACACTAATCAAGTGACTTGTGTGTCGCATATTTCGTACCTTTCCAATTTTTAAAAAAAAAAACCACCATCGAAAACTTACAAGCACTGAACGGCCGTTCCGTTCTAGTGTGGGACTCCTCAGCATGCGTATCCACGATATCGCGCACGGGATTCAAACCCAGGGCCCATAGGCTAACACTTAACCTGTGGCATTCAACAGTGTTAATATCTAACTTTATTCGAGGAGTCTCACACTAGGATGAAACAGCCATCTAGTTCTTCCTAGTTTTCAATGGTGGTTTAGCATAGATTGACTCATGAATTCAACTATAAAAATACTAAAATCTTCACAAATACCTATACTGATTAAAATGTGTTTGTATGTTATAGATTGCTGAAATAGTTGTTCATCATTTTATATAACCTAAGATGTGTACTGTTTATATTATTATTTATTATACCAGTTGTCTTTGCAGATCTAGTTTCATACAAACAACAAATAAATTCACTTTACATCACTATCTAAAATGGTAGTTTCTTTAACTGATGTAATTAGGTTCTTTGATCATTATTAATATTTCAGAGTGAAAAAGATATTATACTACGTGATGAACTAGAAAATTTCAAAGATAAATATCCTAATCATTTTCGTCTTTGGTATACATTGAATGAAGCACCGGAACGTAAGTATTATACCTTTATTCATTTATTACTTCATTCACATTTATCATTTATTTGTTATTGTTAAAGATAAATTATTAGGTAATATATGGAAAACAGTCAATAATACTGGGGAAAATTGAAATGAATTGACTGCATAGTGTAATTATTATAGGTTCGGTTGAAATTGTAACTCAGACCAAATTTTCTTTCAATTTCAATGAATACAGATAACGAATGGATATAATTACGCAGTGAAAGTCTCTAAGAGTACATCAGTCATGTTTCAAATGAAATATTATATAGTAAACAGAGAGTAGTTGTTATTTTTAAAAAGCTACTTAGATGGTGGTTGGAGGTAGTCGACAGGAAACCCTGGACCCAGGTTTCGTGCTACTTGAAACTCGTCAGCAAGGTGTACCTGTAATCTTGAGAGAACTGGTGCTCCCTGACGAATTCAGTGGTAACGTCTCTGACTGTGAAGCTGGGTTACACGGGATCAAGTAGCACGAAACCCGGGTCCAGGGTTTCTGACGACTACTTCCAACCACGATGTAATCTCAACATAGTGCACACAGTGTCGAGTCACCTAGATTGGTGGTCACATTGCAACTTGGTCGACAGCATTCGATCTGCACTAAGAAGGACTTGGTATACATGACATTGATCACCACACAGTGATCAATCAATTGTGAAACAGGTACTTATTTGTATGCAAAAGAATAGTCATATTTTTGGTGTGTCATGACACATTATGAATCCCATTGGATTACGGACATACTTTTCTGATAAGTATGAGTAGGCACTAAATGTAGATACAGGGTCTCTATCAGCTGTCTTTAAATAAGTAACATCAAACAATGTTCACCGCAATGCCGAGTTATCTAGCAACCTACATTGCAGCTTGATCGATAGTAGGAAGACGGCATCAATACAAACATTGGTTATCTAAGGAAAACATCTCAATACGGCATGTAGTACGACTTATCTCTTGAATTTTAAGTTGTTCCTTTTAGCCTTAACGTAATCTAATTCAATTCCTTGGTATAGTAGTTCCTAAAGAAACATATATTCCAGACTACATAGACCGATTGAGTCATCACGGTATACAAGCTTGATCACGATATTAGTACAACATCTACGGTAGAGTGTCAAGTGTAAAATCTTTACACTTATATTTACTTCTGTTAAAGGTGTATTTCACACACATATTCATGACAAGCTGATAACAAACTAGGTCTCTATCATTTATTACTCTTCTTTCACCATTATGTAAATTAGCGCTTAATAACCATATAGATATCCATATACTAAGCTATCAACTGTTGTCAAATATTCAAATTCAAAACTGAAAATACCTCGTATTCTCACAGAGATTTAAACCTGTTTAGTAAGTTTTTCTAGCTAACAAAAAACTGCTCACAAATCAATGACATTGTAGGTATCATTACCAAGGTTTGATTTGATAGTTTCCAATTAATTGGTAATTGAGTAGATTGTTATAAATAAATAATATATTTGTAGCTTCCCAATGAGTAGAAAAATTAGATTTTCTGACGTTTCGTGACTTAGTATAAGTCACTTCTTCAGAGGATAAATAACCAAATTAAAATTAATCCAAGTTTAAATAGTACAACGGAACAATAAGAATAGTAATATGTGATCAATCTAAAACAGGTCTGAACAAGTTAATGTCATGTCATTTCGGTCAAGGTGATTCATAAGTGCTGAGAATTCTATATTGTACCAAAACTATAATATTGAATAAAGCCATTAATAATAATATATGTAAATTTGTGTGTATGTATGTGTGCATTATTTAAGAATGAAAAATTGTGTGACCTTTATAGTGAGAAAGGATAGAGTTTAGTTTGCAGGACCATATGAAAAGATCAATCCAAAAAGTTCTCTTACGATTAAAAGTAAAGTCAAATCAGAAACAAGTCAACTTTTGAAAGAGCTAAAACCTATCATTGGGGTCTCGCTTTGGTTTGCTCTGCATCCCAAATCATGTAATGTTTCACGGTTTTATCGTTTACCGAAAATTCATAAAACAGGTATTCCCCTTAGATCGATAGTAGACTTCACAAACACCTCAACATATGCATTATCGAAATATCTAAGCAACATATTAAAACCACTACAGCTCAACTTACATAATATGATTAAAGATAAATATGACTTTAAATCAAAATTATCTGGATTAATCATCGAGAAGAATGAGATCATGGTAAGCTTTGATCTCGTTTCTCTATACATTAGTATTCCCATTGATAAATGCTTAGAATTCATTAGTGGTTTACTAGAGAACGACAATACTCTTTCTGACAGATGTCCGTTGAGCATCAGTCTAATCATGAGATCACTAAAACTCTGCTTAAATTCAATTCTATTTACTTTTAACGGTATTTTATACAAACAAACTAACGGTGTAGCAATGGGATCCCCGTGTCCCCGATTGTAGCCAACCTTTTTATGGCATACATAGAATCAAATATCCTCGCCCACAACATTATACCACGAATTTGGCTTAGATTTGTAGATGATACATTTGTTGTCTTAAAAAAGACTCATCTAAGGTCTTTTTCAAAACGGATAAATACAATTTCATCTCACATCAAATTCACGAATGAAAATGAACGTGGTGAGCTACCATTCTTGGATTGCTTAGTAAAAAAAGATCCAAGTAGAATTCTAAACCTATTCATTTACCGAAAACCTACGCACTCAAATCGTTATATTGACTTCCATTCAGCACACCCTTTTAGTGCTAAGATCTCGCTAGCATCAAATCTTTTTAGAAGAGCTAACAAGATCATCACATCAGAGGAAGACACACAAAAAGAACAAAAGAATGTAATTAGCATCTTACAATGATTCGAATGAAATGCCATGGATTGGTACTGCAGTTCTACCATACCGTCATGGCACAACAGAAGAAATCCAAAGAATCTTAAAACAACACAGAATTAAAGCATATTGCAAAACATCGAACACACTTCGAAATATTTTAGTTCGCTTAAAAGAAAAATCCCATTCATGTCCATTGTGATGCCTTCTATATTGGAGAGTCGTCTCGCGAAATCTTGACTAGAGCCAAAGAACATATTAGGTACACAAAGAAACCTCCTAACAATCCTGTAGAATTGGATCAACTTCAAATTAAATCGGCAATTGCAGTTCATGTCATTTTCAACGACCACCAAATTGATTTTAAAAATATCAAAATATTACAAAAAGGCTTTTCCAATTACAACGAAAGGAGAGTAGCTGAAGCATTCCATATAATGCTTAATCCTATATCTCTCAATAGAAAAGAAGGCCTTACCATACATCCTACTTGGACTATCTATCCTAGCCATTCAGTCTGATCGTATTTACAATTCACACTATCATCTCACAAATTAAACTCTATCCTTTCTCACCATGAAGGTCACACAATTTTTCATTCTTAAACAATGCACACATACATACACACAAATTTACATACATATCAGTTATGGATCACCTTGACCGAAATGACATGACATTAACTTGTGCAGAACTGTTTTTGATTGATCACATATTATTCTTACACTGTTCCGTTATACTATTTAAACTTGGATTAATTTTAATTTGGTTATTTATTCCCTGAAGAAGTGACCTACACTAAGTCACGAAACTTCAGAAAATCTAATTTTTCTACTCTTTGGGATATGACAACTATGTTATTTATTTATTACCGGTAAAGTTTTTTGACCCACAGAAACATGCAGACACTTGCATCCTCCCTGTTGGTTCAGATTAGTTAATTTTTTCCTTTAAATCTAAAAATATCCATTAAACTCTGTGCTCTTGTTGTGTATCTTTAATTGTTCAATATAGGTTGGGCATACAGTACTGGTTATGTGAATGAACAAATGTTACAAGAGCATATTTATTCAGTGAAAGATAATGATACAATCACATTAATTTGTGGTCCACCATCATTTATTGAATTTGCTTGCCTTCCATCACTTATTAAATTAGATTATCCAAAAAATATGATTCATGTCTTTTAAGTATTGGTTTGTTTATTGTTAATCTATTTGATTGATTTTAATTGGTTTTGTTGGTTCCAATTTATCTGTAACTTTTCATTAGTTGTCATGATAACATTAACTTATTATATTGGGTTTTATTTTGCATGGGCAAGATACTACTATTATCATTTATTTTCTTTATCTAATAATATCGATTGTCAAATGTTTTAAATAAATATTTTATGCTTAAGTTTTCTAAGTTTTTCCAATTACTATACATATCGATGTAATTAGATACATATTCCATGAGAGGTCTGCTTCCAATTGATTCAAATCAATACGGTTATTTACTATTGGCAGTAACATCTGAACTGGATCGATTTCAGAAGGTAGAACTATAGAACGACTAGTTGATTCAATTAGCTAATACATTAGTGTGTGGTTTTTAACGGATATTATATCTCTACTATATAGTATTTGAACTGCCTGTATAGGAAATATATTCGACTAGACATAAAATTGTTTCACTTTTTGAGATTACTGACAATCAATTATTTTGACAGTATTATATTTCCGTATATTTCATTTATCCTAAAAATTGAATATTTAAAGACGTCCTGAACTCTAGGTAAAGCTCTCCGAATGAGCGTCAAGATGCTTTGTCAGCTAGCGTCTTCAAGCAGACTGTTTCACTCTTTGTGAAAATGACTTCCTGCACACATGGAGAAGCGGAAGTTCTAAAGTTATTCGACCTATACGAGCTAGGTCCTTTATTTCTGGAAGATGGTGACGGACTCTGATTACGGGACTGAACGAGTCTGATAGACTGAATCGTTCCATCACCCTTTGACAAGTTGTTTGTTGTTACTTACTTTTCGTTATGCCTGTTACCCCTTGTTGATCATAGGCCATCGATCAAGATTCTCTAACCAACTCTGTTTTGGGCAATTCTTTCCAGTTACTATTCATTCTTTTCATGTCTACTTCCGATTCTCGACGCAGTGTGTTCTTTGGCCTTCTTTTCCGTTTCCCTTCAGGATTCCAAGTTAGCGCTTACCTCGTGATGCAGTTTGGTGATTTCCGCAATACATGTTTATCCATTTCCAGTGAGTTTTACTAATTTCCTCTTCAGGTGGAAGCTGGTTTGTTCTCTTCCACAGTAGGCTGTTGCTGATTGTTTCCGGCCAACGGAATTGAGTGTCTTGCGTAGACAACTGTTTATAAATAATTGTACCTTTTTGGTAATGGTTGTAGTAGTTTTCCAAGTTTCAGCTCCGTACAATAGAACTGTTTTGACGTTCGTATTGAAGATTTCGACTTTGATGTTGACTGACAGTTGTTTTGAGTTCCATATGTTCAACTGTACGAATGTCGCCCTTGATTTACCAATCCTCGCGGTTACGTCTGCATTATATTAACCTTGTTCACCGAAGATGCCGCCCAGCTACGTAAAACTCTCCAACTTTTCCAGAGCTTTTCCATCAATTGTGATCTGTTTGGTGCTCGTTGTACTGTATTTGAGGATCTTGCTTTCTCTCTTGTTTATGTTGAAGCCTAATGCTGCTTCACTTGCATTTGTTCGTGTGTATAGGACAGAAGAGCTAGGTCATCTGCGATTTCCACGTCATCTAGTTGCATCAAAACTGTCATTTTATCCTATGCTTTATGTGTCTTCACATTTCAGTCAATCTCCAGGAGAAAGAAAAGTCGACAGTAAGCAGCATTATCTGACACGGTCCTCACTTAGAAAGGGTCTGTCAGCTGCCTTGCATGCACGACTTTGCGGTTTAGTCCATTTCGTGAATTCCGTATGATGTTGACGGTTTCTCAGGTACACCCTAGTGTCGAAAAAAGTCTCATAGGTTATCTTATCCACGCTGCCGAATGCTTTCTTATAGTCAGGAAGTTAGTGTATAGTGGCCTGTGGTGTCGGCACACGGTCGAGTTTTACGGAATCCGGCATGTTGATCTCGAAGTTGGGCGTCTACTTAACTTTTTATTCGGTTCGACAACAGTGTTAGAAACTTTTAGTGGTACTAATAGTCGTTTTATACCTCTCTTGTTCCCATAATTACTGAGTTTTCTCTTTGATATTTTCATGAGGTATCCATCTTTCCAGTCCATCGGAACTCATCCTTCCTCCTCAGTCCTTCTGGATAGAATGTGAAGCATGTTTGCAGTTACTTCTCTGTCTGACTTTACTGCTTCAGCTGGTATGTTGTCTGATCGTGCTACTTTTCTACTCCTGATTTATCTGATGGCCATACTTATTTTTCCGATTGTTGGTGGGATGACACCCATAATAAGGTCTGTATGAGCTGTTTTGATATCCACTGAGACTGGTCTATTCAAGAATTATTCAAATTCTTCTACCCATCTGTTCCACTGTTCTTGAGTCTTAATTACTGGCTAGACTTCTTTGTTCTTGACTGGTCGTCAGAGTGTATTATATTTTCCTGCTAGTTTCTTCGTTGTGTCACATAGTTTTCTCATATTTCCTTCTCTCTGCTTTTTCTGCTTTCATTGCAACGTCTTCCACGTATTTCTGCTTGTTGGCTCTAGCACTCCACTTGCTTGCTTGCTTCTGTGTATTCAGTTTGTGCCTTAACTTTCTCTGTTCTTGTTCGACTGTTGTTAATTGCTGTCTTCTTGTTCTTCCTTTCGTGAATCCTGTCCAGAGTTGCCACTGAGATCCATTCCTCATGGTGATGCATGTTGCTGCCCAGCACTTCCTGACACGTTGAAGTTAGTGCTTCTTTGATCCTTTTACAGTTGTCCTCTATAGTCGTTTCTTCTATCGGTAGATCCTGTAAGGCTTGGAACCTGTTGAGATTTATCTTGCATTCATTGAGTTTGTCAGTATCCCGTAGGAAGGCTGTATTGAACCTTTGTACTGCTGTTTCCCAAGCTGTCCAGTTTTACTTTTGCTTCAGTTTCATCTTCGCCATAACCACTTAGTCACTTGAACCTGTATTAGCTCCTCTCTTTGTTATCACATATTCCATGGATCTTTTGAATTTTTTATTTATGCAAAAGTGATTGGTCTGGTTCTCTGTCGGATCTTATATAGCTTTGTGTATGTGTTTGTGGGGAATATGGCGTCATCCACAACCATTTTGTTGAAGGCACTTATCTGCGAATCTCACCACTTTTCCTTTCTCTCAGTCTACGCTGCCCTGTGATACCTCAATTCCCGATGCTATTCATCCTGACGTTGGTGCTTAGGTCTTCCATCAGGATTGTCAGGTCCCTTCGTGATCACCTCTCCACGACGGACTGTAACCCCTCATATAACCTATCTTCTCTTCTTGCTTTCATCGGTGGGTGCATAGCAGTCATTGTTATCATCTCCGTTTTGAAGAATGCTTTGATGATCCTGGATCCCTGAAATTCAATTCCTTTAAATGATTTTCATACTTCTTTGGATAGCATCGGTGTAACTCCTTGTATGTAGGAGGCATTTCCTTCATGACTAGAGTGCAATACCAACTCTCCCTAGACTAATCTTTTCCGTCTGTCTTGGGTCCAATGGGTTTCGCTTTTTCCAAATATCTCCAAGTTGTATCCTTATTTTCACAGTTGTTTGACTGGCCCTCTCGATCTCTCACATTGCCCGAATATTCTATGTACCTAAGTTAGTTGTTACTCCGGCTGTTAGAAGGGGCGTCGGCCTCGTGACTCCCGAAGAATCTTGGCTCTCACCATCAGGCATCATAATTTTAGACGAGGATCCTTTATCTCCCAGGACAGAAATTAAACGGTTTAAGTTGTTTTTTCTGATCAGCGATTTTTAGCAAGATTGTTTCCTACGGGATGGGCCAGCTGACTCCATGCCTTAATCTCTTCCTTTATCCGGGCTGCGGACCGACGGTAATCTTAGCAGGGCTCTAGGTGAAGTTTTGTTCGTTATATCCCATCTTTAATAAGAGCCTACAATTTGAATGTAAACATGTACCAATGTATAGTTTTTCACCGATTTCGCCTGAAATATGTACTTACCTAAACTAACTTGAAATGATTGAGTATCGGTGTTGGTCAGTCCTACAGGAGGTCGATCGCAGCTCATATAATCCGATGTGAAGCTGGTTGACACGAGTTCGGATCCGCCAGGGAGCATCGGTCCCCTCAATATTACAGGTTCACTGTGCTGGTGAGTGCCAACTAGCACGAAACCTAGGTCCAGGGTTTCGTATCAGCTGCCTACAACCACCACCTTACATTTCAACATGGTAAACACGATATCAGATCACCTCGACTCGTGGCTATATTTCGATTTGATCATTAGAATTCTCTCTGCACTAAGAAGGATCCGACATACATAACAATTTGCAAATGTATCGTTTCGTTTCAAATTTCACATGGACTGGTAGCATATCTATAAATGCAACACAGAAGTTATCACATATATTTATTTTTCTCAAACTGCTACGCCACACGATAGGTGTTCGAATAACACAAAATCAACTTAAGTGACATTATTTGCTCAATAATGATAGGGTAGCCTGTATTCATATTAAGATTTAATCAGTAATCACCACTCTTACAACCTTCTTAACATATGAGATAAACAGTTTGCTCTACTACTTTAATTCATTTAAAAACTCATGATATTCAGTATCCTCTATACTTTGTCAGAATGTTTGATTTTATGAAAAATTCGAATAAGAAGTAGTTTTGTGACAGTCATTAAATCACAGAAATATACACTGGTGTAAGCTGCTACACTCCATATTAGCGAACGTAAGTACGTCAGAAGTATATAAACCTTGTGAAGACTCTTTACTCTAACGCTACTAATCAAGTGAGAGCTTATAACAAACTGTCACCTGATTTTGCAACCTCAAGTGGTGTCCGTCGAGGCTGTCCACTATCTCCATTTTTGTTCAACTTTATCATAGACATACTGATGGAAATAACGTACTCGTAAACTGAGTTCTCCTACCAGGAGGTGCACTTATCGACTTAGAATACGCAGATGACATATTCCTGTTTGGTGAAGACGCTGATAGAATACGGAGTCTTTTGGTCGCACTGAGCAACAATGCCAGAACGTTTAGGGTGCGTTTCTCCCCTCTAAATGCATATTATTGCTTCAGGACTGACCTGCATCAACACATGAACTAAGGATGGGAAGTGAAGTCGTCGAACGCATAGACAACTTCACTTATCTTGGAAGTCCGATCAGCCCTGATACTTTGGTGTTTGACGAAATCTCTGCGTGGATTCATAAAGCTCGTTTAGCGTTTGCC